CACCCACCGTGTGCACGCCCATGGCGGGATCCTCCCAATGCTGCACCCACACGTGCATGCCCATGGCGGGATCCTCCCAATGCTGCACCCACACGTGCACACCCATGGCGGGATCCTCCCAATGCCGCACCCACACGTGCACGCCCATGGCGGGATCCTCCCAATGCCGCACCCACACGTGCACGCCCATGGCGGGATCCTCCCAATGCCGCACCCACACGCGCATGCCCATAGCAGGGACCCCTACCTCGGGGTTCTCCTGGCTGGTGGGCCGGTCTTCCTTCTTCTTTTTGGTGGCCTGAGCTCCCTGAGATGGCTTCTCTGAGGGTGGCCGTGGGTCCGCTGAACTCTCAGGCTGTGTCTGCACTTGAGGTTGAAGGATGATAACCTGGAAGATGTGGCAGAGGGGTGAGGGGTGAAGGCCCAGGGAGGAGGGACGGGGGACAGAAGGACATTAGTCACCCGTCAGAGAGGGGCAGCCTGGCAAGGGTACACAGGCTGAGGACAAAGGTCAGCTGACACGTGACCCCAAGGGTCTCAGACAAGCCACCTACTAGGGAGGCCTGGGGCACAGAGTTTAGTTTTAAATCTGGCCTACATACATACGTTCTGTATTTCCCACACAGGTACTTGGGAAGTAAAACTGCCCTTGACCATGCAACTTCAGCAGACAGTACTGGACTCTCTTGCAGCTACTCATTGAGCCACACATTTTATTAATGATTCCACACCAAATAACCGATTAGCCAACCCCTCTTTCTTTTCCCACAGGTATTTGTCCATTTGGCTGTCTTCCTCTCTGCACATTCACTCACGTGCATCTCATTTATTTACACCACCACCCCGCCCATCACTGATCTGCTCATCCCTCGTTCATGACAGGCCGTTCTCCACTGCCTGCTCATACTCCATCCACACGCTTGTGTCGACCCTATTTATTCATCAGTCATTGGCCACCTGGCCACACACCACCCGTCTCCTCGTTCTTTCTGGGCCTCCTCCCTCCAGCCTCCCTCGGATAACCGTCTCCGTGCCCCCTGTGTGTGGCATGCCCCTGGGGGACCTGGGGCCGGCCTCACCTTGCTGTCGGCACTGATGAGGAGAGGCTGGACTTTGATGCTGTCGCTGGCCACGGGCACGGCGGTGCTAGGGGTGATGGCGGTGGCATTGCTGGGGGAGGTGGAGATGATGGCGTAGGCCACGCCGGCGCCGCTCAGGGGTGAGGTGATGGCGGTGGGCTCGGCGAGGGCCTGGGGCTGGCTGCTGGGCGTTGGCACGCGGCTGACGGTGTTGTTGGCAGTGGGGAGGGCTGGGCTGGGGTTCTTGATGCTCACCACAGTAGCCTTCTGAAATGTCGGGGGCTGCTTGGGTGGCCGGTCCCGGCCCGGGGTGATGGGGAGGCTGTCTGGAATCAGAGTCTTTGGCCTAACCTGAGAGGAAGGGACAAGGGCCTGGTCAGGCGGGCGAGGAAGGTGCAGTGCAGAGCCAGACGGGGCACTGGATGGGAGTGCAGGGCACGCCCAAGTCTCGCGGGGAGAGTCCAGAGCGCTAGATGTGCTGCCCGTGGGCACTGACTGCCACAGCGCCGGCGGGGCTAGGCAGGGGCCCAGTTCACCCAGCTCCGCTGAGGCAAGCAGCAAGGGAAGGAGATGAGGAGAGGGGAGACGGGGCGAGGTGGGATGGGGGAGATGGGGAGAAGGGAAGGGGGGAGGTGGGCAGCGTGGAGATGGGGAGAGGGAAGGGGGGAGGTGGGCAGCGTGGAGACGGGGGATGGGATGGGGAGACGGGGGATGGGAAGAGGCGGGGGATGGGATGGGGAGACGGGGGATGGGAAG